GTTGAAGACCTTTGCTGCCATCATCCTTGACTCTTTGCCACATTGACTGAGACTCATGGGGTTTGCCAAACACATGGAAGGCGCCTCGTTGGAGAACCCAGCTATAGTCAACCCACCTTGAACCATTGATCTTAAGTACTACTGGGGAAGACCAACCAGATATCTATAGGAAGCCCACAAGTAGGCAGCAAAATCCTGTTTGTATTCTCCAGAGACTGATATTGAGAATATGCTCTCTCTAATCCCAAAGGTTGTTGACTAATAGCCACCCACTCCAGCTAAATAGCCCCCCACCAACTTAAGCCACTCTTGGTTCACATCTATTACATGTCAATTAATACTTCAACTTAATAAAATTCTGTTTAGTTAAATTAAATAGATTCACATTTACAGTGGTGGCTCGGGTTAAGAACTTAATTCGTTCTGGAGGTCCGTTCTTAACCTGAAACTTTCTTAACCTGAAGTACCACTTTAACTAATGGGGCCTCCTGCTGCCGCCGCAAAATTTCTGATCTCATCCTGAAGCAAAGTTCTTAACCCAAGGTACTATTTCTGGGTTAGCGGAGTCTGTAACCTGAAGTGTCTGTAACTTGAAGTGTCTGTAACCCGAGGTACCACTGTATTAGGCTTACCAAAGAAAAGAGGGATAAAGAAAGCTACTTTCTACTGAATCTGGCCATTGGTTTGGACTACTGTCTGCCCTGAGTTACAGAATTTCACCAAGGTCTCAAGCAAAGGTATGTCTTTTCTAGTTTTGCTTTCCAAAATCCATTTAACTGGCAATGGTGGGTCTTGGTCCTTGCACCTTCTGCACTCAAGGGATGAATTCTATCACTGAGCTGCTGGCCTTCCAAGTGCACAATCCACCCCAGAGTCAATATTTGTAATCCATCCCATAGTCCAAGGGTGGGGAGACATGTGGGCCTCCAGAAGATGCTGAAATATAATTTCCATCATCCCTGGCCATCTGCCATTCTTTCTGGGGCTGATGAGAACTAGAGTTCAAGAACATTGTTGAACTACAGATCCCATCATCCCTGGCCTTTGACTATGATGGTGGCTGGGGTTGCTGGGAGCTGGAGTCCAAGAATGCTGTTCCCACTATCCATGACCATTGTCCAAGTATGCTGGGTCCAACAATATTTGGAAGGCCACAGGCTCCACAGGTGTGGACTACAACTCCCATCACCCCTGACCATCAGCCTTCTTGGCTAGGACCGATGGGAGTTAGAGTCCAGTGACATGGAGGGTCACAGGTTTCCCAGCCCTGCCCAGCTTGGTATCCAACTCCTTTTCTCAGACCCTTCTCGGCGCTGTCCGACTTACCCAATTCTCTGAGGTGAAGACGATGAGAGGAGCTGTTCCAGGTTAGGAGAAGCTGTTGAGAGAAGCACCGAGGCAGCTTCCTTTATATACGATTTTGGGAGGCAGATGTGAAGAAACTTCAGCAAAGTACTAATTTGGGGCCAACCAAAATTTGCTGTTTGCCGCTTCAAGCTCTTTTAATAGGTTGCCTTGATGCGTGCATCAACGCGTCTATCGCTTGTGATCATCAGCGTATAATTAAGTTATCACTTGCCCCACATAGATGGTAGAAATCCAGTGGTGATTCAAGCATCCCCATCTCCTGGACAGACATCCATTGCGTCTGTGAACCCATATCGTTACATCTGATGCAAGCTTGCATATGGGTCAAGAATTGGGGATCTTTGGCTCAAATTGGTTCTACTTCTTCTATGCAGAGCATAGTTAAGTTGCAGAACTGGTGGCCACCAACTTGGATGGAATGGACAAAGTCATGGTCTGGTGGGGATGTGATAAAATTAAAATTTTGGGGGGAAATATACATGAGGGACTGAAAAAAAAAATGTTTAAAACAAGAATTGGTAAGAAGCCGGAAACATTCCTTTTAGGAATTATAACAAATGACAACCCCAAAGATATGAAGAGAATCTTTTTATATGCAACAGCCGCAGCAAGGTTATTGATTGCAAAAAACTGGAAATCAGAAGAAGTACCAACATTGAAAGATTGGCAACATAAATTTATTGAAATGATTGAATTAGCAAAAATCACGACAACAATTAGAATGCAATCTAATCAAAACTTTGAACAGGAATGGAAATGTGTAGAAGAATACATGACCAAAAGATGCTCCAACAATAATTTATTGACATGTATAGACTGATTTCACAAAGTTAAGGGAAGCAGATAGATAAGACTGAATGTTTAATTATTAAGATACAAAATTGCAATCTCAATAATAAAGTTACAAAATAATAACAAGGTGGAGGGAAGACACAGGGCAAGAAATAAGAAATGGATAAATGTTGGTAAATAATGAAATGTGGAAATGTGAATTTACGGATATAATGTATATGTATCATTATGTAAAGATTTCATATATGTATTGCAACATTAATAATTAATAAATAAATAAATACATAAATGAGAGGAGAAGAAGAAAAAAAAGGGAATGGACAAAGTCATGGAGGATAAAGCCATCAACGGCTACTAGCCCTGATGAATGTGCTGTTCATCCACAGTTGGAGGCAGAAATGCTTCTGGATATCAATTGCTGGGAGCCACCGGAGGGGAGAGAGCGTTCTTGTTCTTGGTTCCTGTTTCTGCATTTCCCGCAGGCTTCTGGGTGGCCATGGTGAGAACAGGATGCTGGACTAGATGCTGGTCCAGCAGGCTTGAGTTATGGATAGCTTGAAAAGAGGATTCAATAAATTCATAGAGGATAAAGGTATCGATGGCTTCTAGCCACAATGGCTAGAATACCTTCACCGTCAGTTGCAGAGAATCACAAGAGGAGAGAGTGTTGATGTTCTCAGCTCATGCTTGAGGACTACCCACAGGCAGCTAGTTAGCTACTGTGAGAATGGGATCCTGGATTTAATATGCCATTGGCCCGATCTAGCAGGCTGTTCTGGTGTGCTTGACTGCAGTTTCTATCCTCAGCTCATGTTGGCCATAATGAGAACCCTGCAAGCAGGACCCAGCCTCAAGAGCAATTCTCCCTACTCTCAATTCGCAGCAATATGTGTTCTGGAGGATACCTGCTCTGGTAGTGGAGGTAGAAGATAGCCATCACCAGAGATGATTCAAGCTGCAGGTCGGCAACATCTGAATAGAAAATAATTGGAGTACTAGGGATGTCCAACAGTAGATCGTGATCTACCGGTAGATCCCCAGCTGATCCTGGTAGATCGCGGGATCCTTATTGTGTACAAAAAGTGACAGGGGGAAAGCTAAAAATCTCTGTGCAATCCCCCCCCCAAAAAAAAACTCAACAACTCTGGGCAATCCACACACCCCACTCATGCTCCTCCTCCCTCCAATGACAATGGGTCAGATCAATGACAATGGGAGTAGATCACAGTCTCTTGGGAGTTGGGCATGCCTGGAGTAGACAGTAGTGGTCAACAACACTTCCAGAGTATCAGCAGCAGGAAATCAAAGAATCATAGAGTTGGAAGGGATCCCAATCTAGATCCTGTAGTGCTGGAATCCTGTCCATGGCTGTCCCTTGGTGGGCTCAAACCACCAACCTTTTGGTTAACAGTCAGACATACTGTCCCAATGTGCCACCCAATCAGCTACTCCATATAATTTTTGGGTTAGAGGGCACCATGGAAGGCTATCTAGTCTAACCAACTGCTCAACGTGGAAAAGATACAGCTGGAGAATGCCTACAAGATACATTTCCAGATTCTTCCTGGAGAGCGCCCATCTGTCAGGATGCTATCAGTGGCCTTGGCTGGTTGCCCAGGAAAGTATAAAGACAAGGAAAAGTTTCTTACTGTCCTTTTTTTATTTCAAACTTTACAGAAAGAGGCTATAGAACCCAGCCTCTTGGATAATGGCGTTGTCCCGAGTGAATCTCTACCCCGCTTCTCTCCCACTTCCTCATTCATTGTCATCATCACCTCCTTTGTGGGTGCAGCTAAATGCCCTCTGTCTTTGAGCTCTTTGCTCTCCTACTTTTAAGGCTCGTCAGGTTCTGGGAGATGGTTGGTCTGGAATGCTACTCCTCCTCTCCCATTATTTCCTCTCCCCCCCCCCAATCTGCCTCTGAGCGGTGACGTCCCACAAACCCCTGTTGTAAATCAATAGTGTCTTCCTCTTCCTCCTCCTCGGAAGGGTCAGAATGGGGAGGTGTTCTCCACCACTCCTCCTCCTCTGCCCAGCCCCCTGTCGGAATCTCCGCTACGACCGAGCTGAAAAGCTCATCCTCCGGTCAAGCCTTCGGAATCTCCTCCGACAATGATTAACGACCTGAGCCTTTGATAAGGCTCCAGGCACCTTCTCCATTCAGCAGAGTATCAAAGCACTCAGGGAAGGACGAGAAATATGAGCTACATTGCAAAGAGTTTTATTTCTAGTTACGCAGACAGAAAAGAAATATATATGCTCTCTCTGTGAAAGCAGAGAGCAACCTGGAAAACAAAGGAACAGGAAACCAGTAACATCACATCTGTCTCCAGTCTTCCGTGAGACTTCCAACAGCCTAGAATCTCTGGAATGCAAAACAGAGTCTTGTGACTCCAAGCACTGCACAGTGGCACAAACAGAAACCAACACCCCCGACCTCTCAAGGTCACTGGTTCCACTGCTGAACTGAAATGAGCTTACTATCTACATTTCTTCCAGGCCATGATGTCAGGGTTGACAGGACCTTGACAGCACCCTGGCACATGATGACATTCATGTGATGACTCTTTCAAAGTTTGACCTTTCCATGTAGGCCTCCTTGAATGCTTCTCTGCCTTTAAACACACCTAGATCTTTTGACATTCTTCAGTAAAAAAAATACACCAAACAAAACCCAAGGATAATAACCCCTTGATGAGAAAGGTGTGTTTCTAATGCTCCCATCTAACAAAGGGCTTCAACAGGTGCTCATGTTTATGTGTTGTGCAAATAAAAGCCCATTTAATTATAAATCACTCCGGTTGACTCTTGAGTTATATGCCCAAAGAGGACAGTCTGTCATGACCCCCTGCATGGCTGCATTTCTGAGAGTTCATGGTAATGAAGGTGATTAATTATAGCTTAATCAGACCTATTTCTTGATCATGCCAGGTGGAGCTTAATTTATATCCCTGACAGTGCTGGTCCAAGTTACAGGTATGTCGCCTGCTGGTGTGCCATAGTCGAAATAAAATAAAATAAAATTCCTTCCAGTAGCACCTTAGAAACCAACTAAGACTCTTGAGAGTCCCATGGACTGCAAGAAGATCAAACCTCTCCATTCTGAAGGAAATCAGCCCTGAGTGCTCACTGGAAGGACAGATCCTGAAGCTGAGGCTCCAAGACTTTGGCCACCTCATGAGAAGAGAAGACTCCCTGGAAAAGACCCTGATGTTGGGAAAGATTGAGGGCACAAGGAGAAGGGGACGATAGAGGACGAGATGGTGGGACAGTGTTCTTGAAGCTACCAGCATGAGTTTGACCAGTTCTGGGCACCACAGTTCAAGAAGGACACTGACAAACTGGAACGTGTCCAGAGGAGGGCAACCAAAATGGTCAAAGGCCTGGAAACGATGCCTTATGAGGAACGGCTAAGGGAGCTGGGCATGTTTGGCCTGGAGAAGAGGAGGTTAAGGGGTGATATGATAGCCATGTTCAAATATATAAAAGGATGTCACATAGAGGAGGGAGAAAGGTTGTTTTCTGCTGCTCCAGAGAAGCGGACACGGAGCAATGGATCCAAACTACAAGAAAGAAGATTCCACCTCAACATTAGGAAGAACTTCCTGACAGTAAGAGCTGTTTGACAGTGGAATTTGCTGCCAAGGAGTGTGGTGGAGTCTCCGTCTTTGGAGGTCTTTAAGCAGAGGCTTGACAACCATATGTCAGGAGTGCTCTGATGGTGTTTCCTGCTTGGCAGGGGGTTGGACTCGATGGCCCTTGTGGTCTCTTCCAACTCTATGATTCTATGATTCTATGATTCTATGATTCAAACTGCGGGAGGCAGTGGAAGACAGGAGAGCCTGGCGTGCTCTGGTCCAGGGGGACACGAAGAGTCGGACACAACTAAATGACTAAACAACAACAACAAAGTTTGTTATTGGCATGAGCATTCATGTGCATGCACACTTCTTCAGATACGCTGAAACAGAAGTCACCAGATCCTTATATATAGTGGGGGGGTGATTGGCTGATAGGTTTGGTAAACCTGTTGATGACTGTTAACGACTGTAATTGGTGTTACAGGGAAAAGCAAGGGGTGAGATTGGTAAAAACAGCTTTATCATGTATAATGAGATAATGAGATTCCTTTGTTAATTGCTCCCTTGTTTTAATTTTCTAATCTCCTTGATAGAATTCTCTCAGTTCTTGGTATGTTTTCCATTTCTCTTTGCCTGTCATCTTTTTTTTGCAGAAATATGCTTGCTGTGAAATCCATAGAGGTCTCCTTTGTCACAGCCTAGGTCTGTATTTATTCCAGATTCTTAATATGGCACTTCTATTACAGTGATTTTTTAAAGTCCGCATGAACTTTAACTTTATCATACCACAAATAAATATGCTATCCAAACGTTAGGTCCTTTCCTATCTCCAAGAACTTCTCATTTCTCAGTGCCAACCAGTCCTTCTTCCACATTAAACAACAGGCTACAAATTGCAATTTCAGATTTGTTACACCCAATCTCCCCCTTTCCTTTGCATCTTGTACAAATTTGTTTAACACGTGGTTTCTCCCACCCCTTGCCATAAAAACCTGGATAAATATTTTTGGCCATTGTTTAAACAGTAAGTCATTAGCTAGAACAGGTATTCTAAGTTCAAATTCTAACATCAAAGAGAGTATGACAAGTCTGTGTATTAGCTCCCTTTTTGTATAATATATATGTAAATGATGTCATACTTGAACTTAAACGATCAAAATACTTTCCTTCCTTGGTTTTATTCCATAAAGTACAGTGGTACCTTGGGTTAAGTACTTAATTCATTCCGGAGGTCTGTACTTAACATGAAACTGTTCTTAACCTGAAGCACCACTTTAGCTAATGGGGCCTCCCGCTGCCGGAGCACGATTTCTGTTCTCATCCTGAAGCAAAGTTCTTAACCTGAAACACTATATCTGGGTTAGCAGAGTCTGTAACCTGAAGCGTATGTAACCTGAGGTACCACTGTACCCATTTTGTTATATGGCAGGCATGTCCAAAGTACGTTTTGGGGGCCTAATCAACAACTTCAATCCTTAAAAAAGTCAACAACTTTGGTTGGCCCTTTGGTTGGCCCTCATGCATGTTCACTTCATCAAATCTGGGCCTCTTTGAAAAAAGTCTGGACACCCCTGCATGCTGATGATATGGTTTCATTATCACAATCACAAGCGGATATGAGGCGACTATTAAAATTTGGGGGCAATGATTTGCCACAATGAATATTTGAGCATAAATCATGCCAATAGAAAAGTTGTAGTGTTTGGAGCAAGTCCTTATAAACACAAATGGTCAAATAATTGAGCAAGTGAGGCACTTTAATTAGGTCTGGATACAGTTTTCTGATAGAGGCATTTGGTCCCATCTTATGGCAGCCGCAGCTTTGAAGGCCTCAGGATCCTCACAAGCAGTTCTCAGCTGCAGGAGAGAAGCCGTAACCAGGACAACTGCACATCAGGTAAAACTTCTGACACCATTTCTTTGCTCTTGTTCCTCCTTGAAGGGAGAGGCAAGATGCCAGACCATCCATGGAAGAGAATGCTGGACCCACCTGGCACTGATTTTCAGCAGCTGGCCCGATGTCAGACTTTTGAGTGGGGTGGGGAAATTGTTGGTTCAGTGTGAAAGGTTTTTGGTCTAGGTAAGGGATAGAGGTTTTGTTTTGATAGGGTTGCCATATTTCAAGAAGTAAAAGTCCAGACACAAAAGGTTTGGGAAATCAACATCAAAGTTGAGGTTGAAAAACCAGACGTATGGCAACCCTAAACCTAGAGCTCATCAGGTAGCAAGTGACTAATAGTTTTAATGAACAAACAAATAAATATCTGAAGAAGTGTGCATGGACATGAAAGCTCATACCAATAACAATCTTAGTTGGTCTCTAAGGTGCTACTGGAAGGATTTTTTAAATTTTGTTTCAAATAAATAGAAGATAGAAATCAACAGTTTGGGAAATTGTGGGATGGAATAGTGGGATGGTCAGACCACAGTTGGAATTCTGTGTCCAGTTCTGGGCGCTACGATTTAGGAAGGATGTTGACAATCTGGATCGTGTGCAGAGGAGGGCGACCAAGATGATCCAGGGTCTGGAAACCAAGCCTGATGAGGAACGGTTGAAGAAGCTGGGTATGTTTAGCCTGGGAAAGGGGAGACTGAGAGGAGATAGGATAGTCATCTTCAAATATCTCAAAGGCTGTCACATGGAAGAGGGAACTGCTCTGGAGTGTAGGACTTAAGGCAATGGCTTCATGTTGCAAGAAAGGAGATTCTGAGTAAACATCAGGAAGAACTTCGACGGTGGAAGGTGGTGGACTCTCCCTCCTTGGAGGTTTTTAAGCAGAGGTTGGATGGCCATCTGTCATGGAGGCTTTAGCTGAGATTCCTGCATTGCAGGGGGTTGGACTAGATCAGTGGTTCTCAACCTGTGGGACCCCAGATGTTGTTGGACTACAACTCCCATCATCCCTGAGCTCTGGCCTTGCTAGCTATGGGTGATGGGAGTTGTAGTTCAACAACATCTGGGGACCCACAGGTTGAGAAAGGCTGGACTAGATGAACCTTGGGGAACCTTCCAACTCTACAATTCTATGATTCTATTAATGAACTGCTGTGGTCTGGGATAGTCACTTCACTCTTCGCTTGGTGACTTTTTGTCATCTGGTGGAAGAGAGAGGTTGCAGCTCAGTGGTGGAGAATCTGCCTTGCATGTAGAAGTTCCCAGGTTCAATCCCTGCCTAAAAACCCAATGCAAGCGCTGCCTGTCAGCAGAAGAGAAGGGAATCTGGCGCCCTGCAGATGTTTCTGCACTGCAACACTCATCAAGCTTGAACACTGGCCATGATGGTTCCTTCATAGCTGGAGCTGTCGTGTGTGTTGTATTCAGAGGTGGATTTAGCGGAGCCTGGCAAGTTTGATTGCACTGGGCACAGGGATGCTGCAGGGGGGACCACAACTATGATGTATAGTGAAAGATGAGAGTTATAAGGGCAAATTGTGGCCTCCATGGGGCGTCGCTAAAATTTAAGACCCCACGGTCCATGATTGCTATATTTCATTCTATTTCCAGAAGTAGCTTTTATGTCATGTGAATTATAGAAATGTAGAGTTGGAAGGGATCCCAAGCCCCATCTTGTCAGTTTGCATTTCTTAGTGCAGAAAGTATTGATAAGATGTGCAGAGATCTTTTCTATTCTACTTAATTCAAGAGGGTTCTGGAAGCTTCTCTATGTGAAAGAAGCAAGCAGAAGGTTCCTGATGTTTGGGTTATTCCTTCAGAGAAGCTGAGTACAACTGGCTTAGACTGGTTCTGTTATTGAGGCATCTAAATTAGACTCATGGCATGCATTTTTGTGATAAGGGCAACACCCTGCCATTTCTTAGTATTTCTTGCATAGATCAACACCCTGCCAATTCCTTGAATTGCTTGCATAGTCATCACGGTACAGGATGAGCCATAAAAGGAGTTAACGGTATTCGACATGTGCCTTATCGTTTTTATCCAGGTAAAGAAGGGTGCTGTTAGATTCTAATTTGCTGAATGTTCTCTTGCATGTTATGACGTAAAAAGTCCTATAAATATTTGCTGAGCCCTGAGTTCAGGGCTCAGACTTTGGAAATTATTCCTCTGAGTCAACTTGCTAGCAAGTACCGTACTTTACAATCAACTTTCTGAGTTTCTCCATAGCGGCGTGGAGTTCTTTCTTTCAGCCAATGCTAGTTTGCTACATCATCTCTTTCTGTCAAGGTCATGCTGACTATAAAAGTAGGGTTAGAAGGAGCCTGGGCTTCCCTTTCTCTTTCTATCTCTTTTCCTTCTATTGTGGTGTTCTGTACATAGTATGCTTAGTGTTAAAATTTAGACTTATTATAACTTATTGTAAGTTTAAGTGAAGTCTGCTACAACTGGATTTCTTGTGGCCAGTGCCAATCCTGAATGTATATGGATTTGTGATCAGTATGCTCATTTGCCTTCAGTCGCAGTAAAGCTCTGCTGGATGAAATAATAATTGCCTCTGGTCTATTTTTTTGGGAATCCTGCAATGTGTTTAAGTTATTACTCTGCTAACAACACACTGGAATCTGCTCTGGATCAATACTAAATAGAATTCCATGAAACCCAAATGCTGAAAATTGGGAATTTCAGCTAGATTCAAAGGAAAAGAGAATGGAAATGAAAACTCAGTAGACATTGGTTCTGATGCAGTATGGTATTTAATTTGGAACAGGTAGAAGGAAGGTACAAAGGGGATGAGGAAGGGGATGGATGTCCACTTGTGGAGAAGACCAAACCATACAGGGTGGAGTGATGAGGAAGCAACAGTGAGGAACAGCATGGGAAAAGCAGGCATCTGAGCTGGAGACTGAGACCCTTGAAGACCCTATTCAGAGAGCTTCCAGGAAACTCAGCTTAGAGGAAAACCTTCTGTTGTGTCCAACCAAGTCCTGCTCATAGTAGACCCACTGGCATGAATGAGCCTAAGTTGGCCGTGTCCGTTCACTTCATTGGGCTTACTCTGAGTAGGGCTAGTGTTGGAGGCAAGTCCTTTGCTCAGATGCTTCTCGCGTAGGTGAGGGAGAATTACCATCCCCAGCCGCCACAACATCTGCTGCTGCAGCAGTTGCCACCGTAGCCGCCATAACCTCCGTAGCCTCCGTAGCCGCCACATCTGTTGCCGCAGCAGTTGCCACCATAACCTCCGTAGCCTCCGTAGCTTCCATAGCCTCCATAGCCGCCACAACATCTGTTACCACAGCAGTTGCCACCGTAGCCGCCGTAACCTCCGTAACCTCCGTAGCCACCACATCTGTTGCTGCAGCAGTTGCCGCCATAACCTCCGTAGCCTCCGTAGCTTCCATAGCCTCCATAGCCGCCGCAACATCTGTTACCACAGCAGTTGCCGCCGTAGCCTCCATAGCCCCATCCTCCGGAGCCACAGGGGCTGCAGCAGTTTCCGTAGCCACAAGTCATCGTGCGGGTAGTGGTGGTGGATTTGGAAAGCAAAGTACTGGGAAGCAAAAGGAGCCTGATTAGAATTGTGGCATCACAAGGGATTTCAAAGGCCAAGTAGCCCAAACCTCCTGGGTCAATGCAGGGTCTCAATAAAGGGTGGGTGTGGCTTTCGTATGGAGCCCCCAGTCGTCTCACGGACTATTGACCCATACACCACTAATCCGCTGCCACCAACCAGGTCCTCCAGATAAATCATTTAGTTTCAGTCAGGTTCTTAAGTTAACGAAGAAGAGTATAGTTTATTGCAGACACAAATGAACTTTAACTGCATTCCAAAAGTTGTTACTCTTTACCTTCTTATCCTTATTTTTATCCTGTCTCTAACTCTTCTACCTCCCCTCAAACAAGAACTAACTGAACTGTCTCTCTAATTCCAGCTGCCTGCCAACTGCTTTTCCAACTGCCTTTCCCAACCAACCAACCCACTAAAGCCAACCAGCTACCCACTACCCAAACCTCAGGCTAAGCCCTTTTATAAACAGGTAGGCTCCGCCTCCGGCTTTCCTATTGGTCTACATATTAACCCTTTCTCTCCCCCTGTACAGACATTTTCAAATGAATGGGCAAACACCACAGTGGGGAACCTCAGGCCTAAGGGGAGAATGAGATTGCGGCCTTCCAGGTCCCAGTGGTTATGGGTGTCTAAGGCACAGGGTTTGGGTTTTGTGAGCCTTCTGAAAGGAGCACATAAAAAGTTCAGAGATCGTTAAAGCATCTCGGCCACCAAACTGATAAATAATGCTTCTAGCCCTCATGGAAATGGCTGTATGCTTAAAAGGAGCCCATGGAAAGCTCCTGACCCTTTCTAGAAAATCCATGGTGATTATGGTGATGGTGATGATTTATCTGCCCTCCACATTAAGATCCCAGGGCAGGTTACAACATTAAAACATAATATTAGAAATGATTTTCAACAAAAAAGAAGGTGTGTCCTAAAAATGTGCACCTCAAGTGTCACAAGCCAGGGTAAAGAGGCACATCTTCAGCCTTCTGCAAAGGCTGTTTCATGAAGATGCAAGACACACCTCTGTGGTGAGGGAGTCCCACAGCTTAGGGGCCACCACAGAAAAAGCCCTCTCCTGGGCTGCCACCCTCTGAACCTCTGGGGTGGAGGAACTATCAAGAGGACCCTCTCTGCCAATCACACCCGCTGAGAGGATGTTTCTGGTAGGAAGCCGTGTTTGGGTATGTGAGGCTTTAGTTGTTCGCTGCCAGACCTCTGCACCATCTCTGTCCTTGAATTATCATCAACCAATTGAGTTGCCTCTCATCCCAAAGAGGAAGTTCTTACCCCAACCTCCTACCCACTCCACAAACACTCATGAAAGCCCAGGCTGACATTTAAGGAACCAGTTTTTGTGCTTTCATCTTGATGTGCATGGCTATAAATCCCAGAGATGCCTTGTCATTAGTTCTGCTTTATAAGCAGAGCAGGCTGGGAGCAAAAGCTAAACAAGGCATGGCTTGAGAAACCAAGTAAACACCCACAAAATCTTAAACTTCCACCACCAGGACAGGAAAAGAGCCCTGTCTAGTTCAGTGTCGTGCTCTCACAAGGGACAACCTGGTTCCAGCGGGGAACGCACAAGCAGAGTCTCAGCACAACAGCACCCTTCTCTCTTGTGAGTCCCGAAACGCTGCTTCTGATGGTGAAGGCAGAACATACCCACCATGGCTAATAGCCCCTGATAGCCTTATTTCCCACCGATATGCTGAATCCCCTTCTCAAGCCATCCACGTTGGTGGCCGTCATTACTTCTTGAAGTAATGAAATGAACTCATGGTGCTCACTAATGGTTTATCCCCAGCCTTTGACATAAGATCTTCTACTGAGTCAGAACTTTGGTCCATCCAGCTCAGCATTGTCTATGCCAGCTGATGGTGGCTCTCCAGAGCTTCAGATAGGGGGGTTTTCCGGCTCTACTGGGGATGCCTTCTGCATGAAAAAGCACACACCACGTCCCATCCCCTAAGAGAAAGATTCTAGTCCTCATACTGGGAATTGAACCTGGAGCCTTATCCATAACACCATGAGAAGAGCCAGTTGGATTAGGCCAAAGGGGCCCCATTTAGTTCAGCATTGTGTCCTCACAGTGGACAACCAGTTGCCACTGAGAAAGCTGCAAGCAGGACTTGAATGCAACAGCAGCTCCCTACAGTTTCCTGCAACTGGTATACAGAAGCATATTGTCTCTAACAGTGGAGGTACTCTGTTAAGAATAAGAATAAGAATAGTATTATTTATACCCCACTCATCTGGTTGGGTTGCCCAAGCTGCTCTATGTCCTGTGGCCCTTCTCCTAGAACTATTTTTCTCCTAGTGAACACATTCTTAAAACTGCAATTCTAACAGCACAGATCCAGATTCAGAATGTTTCCAAGCAGGACTACGTTACCTTGATCTCTGAGGAGCTGAAGTCCAGAAGAGTGTTTGGAGGAACCCCGAGAGTTGAGGGCTTTTATACCCGTTTCCCGAGCCACCTCATGGGTAGGAATGTGCGTGGCATGACACCTGTTAGCAGCTAACTCATACTTAACTCACACATGCATCACGGCTCAAATTGCTGTATGGGAACAGCGCTCCTGTTTAGGAACACCAGAGTTAAAAATAAAAATAAAAATGAGGATGTCCTCGTCCGTTCCCAATGGTTCCGGTTGCTCCATAAATTTATGGGCCTCATTCCTTCCCATTTAATCAACTGTTTCCATTGGACTCAAACCAGGAGTGCAGCCAGTTGGACTGGTTTCCTTCCGAAGCGTCTGCCCAAATGGTCCACCACTGAGGGACAAGCAAAACATGGCAAAAGCACGTGCTTAGCATCCAAATGTAGAAAAAATATGCTCAAGACGCTGAAGTCTAGGCCAGATGCCACGTGTGTGTGTTTGTGTGTGTGTGTGTTCTGATTTTGTGGTGTTTCTTTTCTTTCTTTTATAAAGTTTTTATTTCATTTTAATACACCACATTAGTATGTATGGAAGTGAGAGCTGGACCATCAAGAAGGCTGATCACCGAAGAATAGATGCTTTTGAATTCTGGTGCTGGAGGAGACTCTGGAGAGTCCCATGGACTGCAAGAAGATCAAACCTTTCCATTCTGAAGGAAATCAGCCCTGAGTGCTCCCTGGAAGGACAGATCCTGAAGCTGAGGCTCCAAGACTTTGGCCACCTCATGAGAAGAGAAGACTCCCTGGAAAAGACCCTGATGTTGGGAAAGATGGAGGGCAAAAGGAGAAGGGGACGACAGAGGATGAGATGGTGGGACAGTGTTCTGGAAGCTACCAGCATGAGTTTGACCAAACTGTGGGAGGCAGTGGAAGACAGGAGGGCCTGGCATGCTCTGGTCCAGGGGGTCACAAAGAGTCAGACACGACTAAACGACTAAACAACAACAAGAACAAAAATACACCACATACAAAAAGAAAATATGAAGATACACAAATATCCGTCACCTCCTAAAAACTAAAAAGAAGAAGAAAAGAAAAATAAACAACAACAAAACCAATACATTAAATATTACTCACAATGCATTTAACATAAAAATGACTTTTTCCTGTATAGCTGACTTCACGTCTACTCCTTACTTCTACTTCTCATCCATTATTCACTGCCATATTATACCATATTTTGGCTTTAATGTTATTTATTCTACCCTAGGTTTTCCATCAGATTTAAAACTCCTGCTGAAGTTGTTCAAATGCTGCTTTTGTGATGTTTCAAACTGCGAAGGCCAAAACATCAATGATGATTTGAAAGAAACATCACCAAGGCATAAACCCAGCAGAAATAAACAACTGGCTTGCAAATTAGGAGATTTACGAAGCATATGCACGCAGAGCTAGGAATGTGCGGTGGGCTGGTGAGAGGTTCCCCATTTTTGTTGCATTTCAAAACAAGATTCCAGTCCTCATGTGGTATGAAGCTTAGAAATGTATTCACACCTCAGCCCCAACCCTCGCCAAGCCCTTTCCTTTGCACCCCCTTGGTTGCTAAAATTATATACTGCCTAACTGTAAAAAGAACTAACTAACTAACAACCAAACCCTCACCTCAGAATGGTTTGAACTGAAAACAATTGTGTTCCAGTGGAGGTGGGAGAGAAGCGTTAACAAAACCAGTCTCCCTATTTTCCAGGGACAGTCCTAGATCTACAGAAGCCGTCCCGGTTTCTGATTTGATCCCAGAATGCCCCGCTTTTCCTTAGGATGTCCCTGTTTTCATTGGAGAAATGTTGGAAGGTATGAACTCCAAAGCATATACAGACATACCTCAAGTTGAATGTGCTTCTGGTTGAGCACGTTTGAGTTGCGCACTGCGGCTACCTGAAAGTAATGGAGCACGTTACTGTTTCGCCGCTCGCGCATGCGCAGACGCTCAAATGATGTCAGCGCATGCGCGAAAGCGGCGGAACGCGGCCCGCACACGCGCAGACCCACCGTCGCATCTTGCATTCCGTTCGGGATGTGAACGTTGCTCCGGAATGAATCCTGTTCGCATCCCGAGGTACCACTGTAGAAGCTAAACACATACAAGACCTCCATTTTCTTTTAGTTTTAAATCAGGGGCCAGCAAACTTTTTCAGCAGGTGGCCGGTCCATTGTCCCTCAGACCTTGTGGAGGGCCGGACTATATTTTGTTTTTGTTTTTGTTTTAAATAATTTTTATTAAAGTTTTAAACAAAGAAAAAAGAAAAAACAACACAAAAAAAAAAACAATACAAAATTTAACAATAAAAACACAAAACATAACAATTAAAAACAAACTCTCTTTTCCATTCCCAATTTTAAATTACTTATTTTCTGGACTTCCTCATACCTCCCTCTTTTGTATTCCAATCTACATTATTTGTCCAGCAGTTTCTTTTCCACTTTTTAAACCCAATCTTTAATTTAATAAAATATTAAAATATATAGCTTCAACTTTTTTAAACATAATCCTTGTTCTTAGTGTCATATACCTTTAAATTTTTCCCTTTTATTATCAAATTTCCATTTCTTTAAACATCTTTAATCTTGATCTTTAATCTTAATCTATCCTTAACTTTAACCTGTACAGCTGGAAACCACTTATTTTCAATCCAACATCACTCTAACATTCCTTAATTTTGCAGTGTTTCTGAAGATAGTCTTTGAATTTCTTCCAGTCTTCCTCCATCGACTCTTCTCCCTGGTCACGGATTCTACCAGTCATTTCCGCCAATTCCATATAGTCCATAAGTTTCATCTGCCATTCCTCCAGCGTGGGAAGTTCTTGTGTCTTCCAATACTTTGCGATGAGTATTCTTGCTGCTGTTGTTGCATACATAAAGAAAGTTCTATCCTTTTTTAACACCATTTGGCCCATTATGCCCAGGAGAAAGGCCTCTGGTTTCTTGGGGAAGGTATACTTAAATACCTTTTTAATTCATTATATATCATTTCCCAGAAAGCCTTAATCTTTGGGCACGTCCACCAAAGGTGAAAAAATGTACCTTCAGTTTCTTTACATTTCCAACATTTATTATCGGGCAAGTGATAGATTTTCGCAAGCTTGACTGGGGTTATGTACTTGACTGGGGTTATGGCCGGACTATATTTTGGAAGAAAAGAAATGAACTATGCCCCACCAATAACCCAGAGATGCATTTTAAATAAAAGGACACATTCTACTCATGTAAAAACGTGCTGATTCCTGGACCGTCCACGGGCTGGATTAAGAAGGCGATTGGGCTGCATCTGGTCCCCGGGCCTTAGGTTGCCTACCCATGTTTTAAATATATGATCCTTGTCAGCTGTGCAATCCAGTTCTCATGACTGGATACTATCGCTACTGAGCAACATGTCATCTACAGGTGAAGATAGCATGAAGCTCACCTGCAGCAACGTCTAAATCATGGGTTTTTACATGAGTAGAATGTGTCCTTTTATTTAAAATGCATCTCTGGGTTATTTGTGGGGCATAGGAATTTGTTCAGTTTTTTTCCCCTTCAAAATATAGTCCAGCCCTCCACAAGGTCTAAGGGACAGTGGACCGGCCCCCTGCTGAAAAAGTTTGCTGACCCCTGAAATTGTCTGGAGCCTGTCCTTGGTGGCAATGGGTGTTCGTTGACATGAATACGCACTGGAGGCTAGGTGTCCCGCTCCCTACAAACAAAGGATTAACTTTCAGAGAACACACAGGAATGGACTTGGAATGGACATGGAGGGGAGATGCTAATACCTTCTGGTTTTGGGTTTTTTTATAAAAAAAAAAGTGGACCTCCCAACTGCCACACAAAATTAGCATTTTTTACTAGCCAGCTAGGTCTGTCACAGATAAATTGGGAAAACTAGAGCAGAAGAAGCCCACCTTCCAGCTTCCCACAACCTCCAACCCATCACGACGTAAACTGGGGAGACTTGTGACACATTCCGCTGTGGTTGATGACCTCTTGCGAGGCTATTATACCAAAATAACATCAGAGCCCATTAAGATTGGGTGTCAAGCCATAGAGGCAATAATAATAATAATAACAGCAACATATTTCAAGCATATAAAACACTAATGACTGTTTGTGGAGAGATCTGGAAGCCTATTGTCTGCTTCCCGGCTTCCCAGCACTACCATCGAATGAAGACGCAAATAGATGTCATCAGTTTGCTGACCGTGTCATCCTGAGCCCTATGGTGCGGTCAGAAAGGGGATGGTCAAATCCTGAAGATGAATGGGAGGAGCTGGGGGGGATAATAATAATAATAATAATAATAATAATAATAATAAATTATTTATTTATACCCCACCCTCCCCAGCCAGTGCTGGGCTCAGGCATAGCTGTCAACTTTCCCCTTTTCTTGCGAGGAATCCTATTCAGAATAAGGGAATTTCCCTTAAAAAAAGGAAAAAGTTGACAGCTATGGGCTCTGGGCAGCTAACACCAGTAAAATTACAGTAAAAACATAATAGAGGGGGGGAAACCAATTTAAAATACAGGTTAAAAATACAATTTAAAATGCAGCCTCATTTTAATAGTAGCCCATAGATCAAAACCATAAGGGGACGGAAACATAAGGGTCATACTGAGTCCAAACCAAAGGCCAGGCGGAACAGCTCTGTCTTGGTGTTTACTGTTGCAACAACTGTTTCCTCAAAAATTATCTTCTGTACCATGAAAATAAATAAAAACAGTTTTTAAAGTGTTAAAGGGAAGGGAGAAAACAGTCTGGAAAACTGGCAAAGGACCATGTGGGTTATCTATTTATTTAAATTCATAAAATTTTATACACCAATTGATTTAAAAAAACAACAACTCAAAGCGGTTTTGAGAAAAGATAAAGCAATAAAATTATCACCCATAAAAATTAACAACAGTAATTTAAGACTTTTGAAAAATTAATGCAACAACAGACTAAAAACAGAATGAAACTTGCACCAACTTTTTAAACAGCTGGGTAACTTTGTCAAAGCGAACAAATGTTTTTAGCAGCTGCCAAAAAGAGTACAGTGGAGGTGGCTGTATGCTATCAATAGGCAGGGAGTTCCAAAGGTGCTGCCGTGGCATTGGAAAAGTCTTGACTGGCTGGCTGGGCCCCCAGAGCGAGAGCGGTTTACGCTGCAACATTGCATTGCATCTCTTTCAAACCCGCTGTGTCTCTTACCCAAGAAGAGCACAAATGCACATCCAGAGCCAGTTACCGTATTTTTCGCTCTATAAGACGCACCAGACCACAAGACGCACCTAGTTTTTGGAGGAGGAAAACAAGAAAAAAAATATTCTGAATCTCAGAAGCCAGAACAGCAAGAGGGATCGCAGCAGCAATCCCTGTCAGGGAACTGACATCGGAGCTAGAGGTGGAGGGAAGGCTCTCCAATGATGCTGGAGAAGGGCCCAGCCGGGAGAGAGGCAGCTCAGCAGCTGGGGAAGGAAATCAGCGTAACACCAGGGATAAAGGGGGGCAGATGGGGGAATCGGCGAGAGGGCTCCCAGACTCTTCACCGGACACCAGCGGGGAGAGCACGGGTCCTCCGCTACCCACGCCCTCCCTGCGCAGAAGACTTCCGCGCAGGGAGAGTAGGAGGAGACTGGGTGTCAAACAACTTTTATGTTGGAAACGGTTTAAGAAACGCCCACTGACGGATTCTGCTAGCGACTGAGGCAGCCACGAAGTGAAGGGCTGTCCAGACTGAAAGGTTTAACAAAGCAACAAAGCCAGGAGAGGCGGCAACTTATGCACGAGCAACCCATACTCTTTACAAATCTCTTTTGCTGTTCTGGCTTCTGGGATAGCTGCGCAGCCTGCATTCGCTCCATAAGATGCACACACATTTCCCTTTACTTTTAAGGAGGGAAAAAGTGAGTCTTATAGAGCAAAAAATATGGTATTTTGAGAATCGTTGCAATCAATACAGTGGTACCTCGGGTTACATACACTTCATGTTACATATGCTTCAGGTTACAGACTCTGCTAACTCAGAAATAGTACCTCGGGTTAAGAACTTTGCTTCAGGATGAGAACAGAAATTGTGCTCCGGTGGCGCAGCAGCAGGAGGAGGCCCCATTAGCTAAAGTGGTGCTTCAGGTTAAGAACAGTTTCAGGTTAAGAAGGGACCACCGGAACGAATTAAGTACTTAACCCGAGGTACCACTGTATTAGTCTTTTAAAAGAAACAAGAGGGGATGTCTAACAGCACAGTTCAATAATGGCCTATGCAGAAATGTCAGTGGGTTCTATCTAAAATTAGTCCTGATCAGAGTAGACCCACTAAAATTAACAGACTTGCGTTACTCATGCCCATGAATTTCAGTGGATCTGCTCTAAATAGTACTAACTCTGAAGACAACCCATTGAGTTTAATGGGATCTACTTTTAGGTCACCGGAGTGATCCTATTCTGGTGATTCCAGCCCCCTGTCAGAGTGCATCTGTTAGAAAGAAATAATCATGATATCATTGTGGTGGAGGGGATTTCATGAGGTTCTTCTGTTGCAAAGGATTTCAGCGCTCCTTGCAAGCATTCATTAGTGGTTGCACATGTCAAGCGATCTTGGGTTATGCCCCTAATTTGTTCTTGCAATTATATAACCCCAGATTTAATAACAGACTCATTTGGAAAGCAGCAACAACAAAAATGCAGTAATTGCTTCACAGGTAATTTCCCCCCAAATGGTAATGATTTGTGACTCTCGATTTGATGGTTGCACCTGATCTGAATGAAGATGAAACAGTAATTGTTCTTTTTATGAACACTTTAACCATCAGGGTTTTTGCCCTTGCCTTTCCAAAGGACTGGATTTGAATTCTGGGGATAGTGATACCATCTATGCAATCATAACATTTCTAAATTATACGTTGTTATGTAGAAGAGGTTTTTCGTTTTTTAAATAAGTTTTTCTTTTTTAAAATTCTTATCTAGCCATGGAGGTCACACTGCTTCTGGAACACTGGCAGAATCTGTTACAGTTTTAACCATACGACTGGATCTACGCAGAGATACTTTAATTCATCAAAAAATTAAGGTAGGGAATATCCAGAAGACTATTGTATTATGAGGAGTTAGGTGAGATGCCCTTCAAATTTCCCCTTTTGATGCTCTTAAAGCTGCATCTAGGCTGAGACCTAGATTTCGCAGTAAATAATGCCGCTCTGTCAATTAGCGCTCTCTAAGAGTTAATCACAGCTTGCTGGAATCAGCGCTTATTATAGAAAGGCCACCTGATGAAAGGAGTGAAGACGTGGGGTCATGTATCCTCAGACGCATGTGGGTCATAAGACAGCAGAGCAGCATGGGAATATTAAGGCTGCGCCATCCCTTTATAGCCTGACATTTGCTATGACCTTTGTTATGACCTTGCAGGACATAAACATAGACAAGGCCATGGGGAGGTGACCCCAACCACAGGTGATGACGTGTTCTCAGCACTCCCGGGTAGTATTTAAGGCTTCAGTGAGAACATCTCAGTGCAGACCAGTGCTGAACACTGTGGTGAAATGGTTGGTTTTGCTGGACTGGTTGGAACAACAAGCACTGGCGGAGGAACGGGAGTGCGGAGGGAGTGGACCGCTCCCGGCACCACTATTCCGGTAGGGTGCCATCGCAGTGGCCACCCCGGGCACGCTCCATGCACCCCCCTGCGCTCGCCGGACACCACGCCCCCACAGGCAGCGCACCACGTCCACAGAACACGCACCATGCCCTGTGGGCGGTGCGCCACGCCCCCGAGGCATGCGCCACACCTCCAGGGAGCGCAAGCCACGTCCCCGCATGTTCTCCACCCCCGGTAGCGTTTCTTTTTTTCTGTCTTTCCCTGCCGGCAAATGGTTAATGAACGGCAGCCTCTGATTGGCCGTGATTCCAGGAGGGAGGGTTTAAAAGGAGAGGATTTGAAGAGAGACAGGGAGTTGAGAGGGTTGGTTGAAGTGGGTTGGAATTGAGGTTGGAGCATAGCTGTCAACTTTTCCCTTTTCTTGCGAGGAATCCTATTCGGAATAAAGGGATTTCCTTTAAAAAAGGGGAAACGTTGACAGTTATGGGTTGGAGAGGTTGGGAGATAGAAGGGAGACAAGTTAGAAGACAGGCTGAGGTATAAAGAGTGAATGGGGGAAAGAGTTGGTTCTGGAAAGACAACTTCCACTCTAAGCATATTGTGAAGGACAGAGTGTGGTGCCCTGTAGGAGGAATAGACTGGAATCTTACTGGGAGGCAGAGGCTGAGCCAGGAGAAGTAGGAGAGGGAAAGGAACAGCCTCCTTGGGACTCAAATATACTCTGGAGGGGGAAGATTCTTCTAAGGAAAACAAGAAACTCCCAAACCCAGTGAAGGATGTGTTAACAGAGGCAATTAGAGATCACACTAGACAAGAGTTTCAAAAAGCATGGGGGAAATGCAGAGAATACTTCACAAAACAATGCCCTAAAATACATACCTGGACTTGTTTCGATTAATGTCTGCAGGAGACTTTAAGTTAAAATTAGAAAAACCTTAATAATTATTCATAAAGGAAACAGCTTATAAGAAGTAAATATGGAGGCCAGATACAGGATAAAGGAAGTCTTTTATTTGGTTGTTTGTATTGTTGTATGTTGGTACGTGGGTGGCGCTGTGGGTTAAACCACAGAGTCTATGACTTGCCAATCAGAAGATCGGCAGTTCAAATCCCCATGATGGGGTGAGCTCCCGTTGCTCGGTCCCTGCTCCTGCCAACCTAGCAGTTTGAAAGCATGTCAAAGTGCAAGTAGATAAATAGGTACCACTCCGGCAGGAGGGTAAACGGCATTTCCGTGCGCTGCTCTGGTTCGCCAGAAGCGGCTTAGTCCTGCTGGCCACATGACCAGGAAGCTGTACACTGCATCCCTCGGCCAGTAAAGCGAGATGAGCGCCGCAACCCCAGAGTCATCCACGACTGGACCTAATGGTCAGGGGTCCCTTTACCTTTACCTTTACCTTTATTGTTGTATGTTATGCTCACTGTATGTTACGTTCACATTTAATGAGGGTGAATTTGTGTATTGGGGGTGGGGGGTTTATGTTATGTTGTAAATAAAATTCCAATTTTTTTTTTAAAAAAATCCTAGCTAAAAGCCGGAGCAAATGACAGATGGAGGGAGGCTACATATGAGGCAGTGGAGGACAGATGCCAGAATCTGAGAGGGCATCTATTGGTCTCATTTATGTTCCTTTAAATTCCAGCAGGGGGCACTCTCAGACCTTTCACCTCCTTCTTGTGGAATAACCAGTGTGATAAATTCTCTACTTGATTAGTTGATGGAGAAGGGATCTCCCTAACTGACTTGTTTTTGGTTTGGTTTGGTTTTTAAACAAACAACCCTAGGATTCAGCTATGCTGGATCTGGACACATCAAAGAAGCGTTTCAACTTAAAGCGTTATAAATTCAAACACAGATTTATATGCGTTATATGTGCGAGGCAACATTGTGCCACCAGATGGCGACGCGGAGTCGCGTTTTTCTTTCCCTGTTTTCCCTGTTTATATTTACAAAGCTGAAACCAAAATGCTTCTTTGATGTGTCTAGCGATCCAGCCTCACTCTTTGTTTCCCAAGCGTATAACTTTCGTTTTGTAGGAAAACCCACATTTCACAACCCTACCCACATCTGAAGAGCTAATTACAGTAAGTCTGGAAGCTTTCTTCAACAGACTCTCTTCAGAGGAAATCTCCCTCTCTCTCCCCATTGTTAATGCTTCAGTTTTATAGGTGGATAAATATATGTACATCGTAGCTGAGATCCCGAAACCTACCATGAAACACACCTAAGAGCTTGGCTGTGCCGTGTTTTGTTTGAATGCCGTGCCTAAGAGCCTAAGGAAAGCCCAGCTGCTGTATCAGACCAGTGGCTCACCTGGTCCAGGGTCATGCTCTCACAAGGCAAAACAAGATGCCTGTGGGAAATGCACAAGCAAGACCCAAGAACATGAGCATCTCTCTCCTCCTGCAGTGTTCAGAAGCATCACTGCCCCAGTAGCAGAAGCAAAACCGAGCCATTGTGACTTTGTTGTTGTTGTTTAGTCGTTTAGTTGTGTCCGACTCATGACCCCCTGGACCACAGCACGCCAGGCCCTCCTGTCTTCCACTGCCTCTCGCGGTTTGGTCAAACTCATGCTGGTAGCTTCGAGAACACTGTCCCACCATCTCGTCCTCTGTTGTCCCCTTCTCCTTGTGCCCTCCATCTTCCCAACATCAGGGTCTTTTCCAGGGAGTCTTCTCTTCTCTTGAGGTGGCCAAAGTCTTGGAGCCTCAGCTTCACAATCTGTCCTTCCAGTGAACACTCAGAGCTGATTTACTTCAGAATGGAGAAGTTGGATCTTCTTGCAGTCCATGGGACTCTCCAGAGTCTCCTCCAGCACCATAATTCAAAAGCATCCATTCTTCGGCGGTCAGCCTTCTTGATGGTCCAGCTCTCACTTCCATACATCACTACTGGGAAAACCATAGCTTGAACTATATGGACCTTTGCTGGCAAGGTGATGTCTCTGCTTTTTAATATGCTGACTAGCAGCCACCAATAGTCTTCTCCTGCATGAATTTGTCCAATCCTCTCCATAAAAGTCCTCCAAGTCAGTGGAGCATGAAGCCATAAACCAGGGGTCACCAAACTAAGGCCCACGGGCCAGATAAGGTCCAAGGGAATCATTTATCCAGCCCGCAGCACCCCCACCCCCCGCAGCCACGGTCCGCTCTTACCGGCGCTGCATGACTGCCCACTTCTGGGTCGGAGGAGCACCGGAAATAGCTTGTGTGCATGCGCAAGCATTATTTCCAGTGCACATCCAGGTCGGAGGAGGCCTGTGCACATGCGCACAAGCCATTTCTGGTGCTCCTCCAACCTGGAAGTGCGCTGGAAATAGCGTGTGCGCACGCACTCCCGCTGTGCAATCAGCACTGGAGATACCGGCCCAAGGCACAGTAGTTTTGCTGACCCCTGCCATAAACCATGCCTTTCAATGTGCATTGCACCAGGAAGGTTTGGGGCATCACATGGCAGGAGAGAGTCTCAAACAAAGATGTGTTCTCCCAAGCATGTGCACAGTTCTGTCCTGAGGTGCCAACTTGAATATAAGTTCTGTCCTGGGTTGTGAAATGAAATACCATGCAGAGGCTTCCCAGAGGCATCTGTAAGGTGAAGAGCATGGGTAGGCAAAATAAGGCCCGGGGGCCAGATCTGGCCCAATAGCCTTCTAAATCTGGTCCATGGACTGTCCGGGAATCAGCGTGTTTTTGCATGAGTAGAATGTGCCCTTTGATTTAAAATGCATCTCTGGGTTATTTGTGGGGCATAGGAATCCGTTCATTTTTTCTTCTTCTGCAAAATATAGTCCGGCCCACCACATGCTCTGAGGGACAGTGGACCGGCCCCCTGGTGGAAAAGTTTGCTGATCCCTGGTGAAGAGTGTCTTTCATGCCTTCAACAGTCATGGCTTCCCACAAAGAATCATGGGAGGTGTAATTTCTTAAGGGTGCTGGGACTTGTTAAGAGGAGACCCTCCTCTTCCTCTCACAGGGCTACAAGTCTCAGAGTTTCTGGGACTGACTGATCAACAGCTTTGGGAATTGTCGCTCTGTGAAGAGGGTAGGGGGTTTCCTAACAACTCTCAGCAGCCTCCCTCATAAGAAGTCCTGAACATGGTCTGAACATCTCACTGCTCTTTTTGTTTTTGCATTTGAAGGGGCAACAGAGAGTTGGCGTTGAAGCCTGCGTGTCTTGAATTGCACATCTTGTGGGAGCTAATAAACCGTAGCCCAAGTTCACTCGAGCATCAGTTCATTATTCCAGGGTGTGCTTGCAAAGGACTCTCCTCTCTTCCCCACAATGTCTAAAGAAAATGCACGTTGAATGCAGTCTGCTAAGTCTACAAAGCAAGAAAGTTCAAAAGCTAATAAGCACATACAAACATTGAGGTGACAAGGTGGGGGGGCGCGACAACGAGATACTCCTGGCTGCAAAGCCTTCAACAATCCTGGGCCTATAATTACCCTGAAAGTTGCTCAACGAAGGTGTTTTGTAAAGACGCAGCTGTCCATGGCAAGAGTATAAAAGTGTCCAAGAATCAAGGCATTTGCTAAACACATTTTCTTGGCTTCTCTCGTTTTGCATTCTGAGGAAGACTTGGGTGAGTCCAGCTTGACTAAATCTGCCTTTAAAACCCTAGGAGTGTTGGCTTGAGCTATTTGATTTTTCAGCTGAGCATTACGGGGAGAGAGAGAGGGAGAGAGAGAGAGAGAGAGACTTAGGAAGCTGTCTTGTACTGAGTCACACCATCGATCTATGATACAATAATACAACACACAATAATAGTAATTTGTTTATACCGCCCATCTGGCTAGGCTCGAGCCACTTCTAGGCGGCTTCCAGAGCATGTAGAATACTATAATATATTGAACATTAAAGCTTCCCTAAACAGGGCTGCCTTCAGATGTCTTCTAAAAGCCTGGTAGTTGTTGTTCTCTTTGACATCTGATGGGAGGGTGTTCCACAGGGAAGGCGCCACTACCGAGAAGGCCCTCTGCCTGGTTCCCTGTAACTTGGCTTCTCACAATGAGAGAACCGCCAGAAGACCCTCGGCGCTGGACCTCAGTGTCCGGGCAGAACGATGCGGGTGGAGACCCTCCTTCAGGTATACTGGACCGAGGCTGTTTAGGGCTTTCAAGGTCAGCACCAACACTTTGAATTGTGCTCGGAAACGTACTGGGAGCCAATGTAGGTCTTTCAAGACCAGTGTTATGTGGTCTCGGCGGCCGCTCCCAGTCACCAGTCTAGCTGCCGCATTCTGGATTAGTTGTAGCTTCCGGGTCACCTTCCAAGGTAGCCCCACGTAGAACGCATTGCAGTAGTCCAAGTGGGAGATAACCAGAGCATGCACCACTCTGGCGAGGCAGAGTTTTGTCTACATGGACAGGCAGTGGCTCTTCAGGGATTCAGCCAGGGAATATATCCCAGTAGAAAAAAGACAGTCGCGGAACCGAGAAATTGCACAAAACAAATGAAATACTGTGAAAATCCCTGAAACGAGAAGTAATCAACTAGAAATATTATCTTGTTGAAATAATCTAAATAATAAAAATCAAAAAGTTTAAGGAAAAAATTAGAAAAACCTAAAATTGAACAGTCTTTAACATCAGCAGTAACATCTAGACCATGGGAGCGTCTCAGCCCTGTTCTTGAGTTTGTTTAAAATCTAAAACAGCTTATCTTGTATTCCTTTCTTTGAATTTGTGCCATTTAGGTTTTTCAAACCTTTTTGTAAAGGCAACACTAGAATTTTCACAGCTGACTCCTCAACTCTTTATTACTGTGCTTTGCTTCCTTTAAGTTGGGCTTTGTCTAAAACTTGCCATTTAGGTTTTCAAACCCTTTTTTTGTAAATTCAGTATTAGAAACTGTACCTTTGAGTCCTCAATCCTTTATTACTGCGCTTTGCTTCACCTAGGTCGAGCCAGGATTATAATACTTCAGAATTTTTGGGAGTTCTGCCCCCCTTTCTTGAATTTTGGTCATTTAAGGTTTATGATTTTTCTATTTCCTTCTGAAGAAACTGAATAGTTCAGTGAAACGAAGTTTGTAGCCGGCATCCCATTAAGGCTTTCTTCAATTTTAGGTTTTTCTAATTTTTTTGATTCTTATTATTTAGTTTATTTCCACAAGATAATATTTCTAGTCGATTACTTCTCGTTTCAGGGATTTTCAGGGAATATATCCCAGCTGAACCTGCAGATGCTATTGGAGGTTGAGGCTGGGGCCTTCTGGAAGCAAGGCAGCCACTCTGCCACTGACCTTTTCCTTAAAGATAATAATGGCAAGGTTGTAGTCCTTATGTTTCCGATTAAAGAGGCAATTTAAACAAGGAGTTGGGAAGCGACTTCTTAGCAAACCCAATCAAAATAACTTTATTGTGCTAGCCATTGGCCATGACAAATCCGAATAAATCCTGTATACCTGAAGGAGCGTCTCCACCCCCATTGTTCAGCCCGGACACTGAGATCCAGTGCCAAGGGCCTTCTGGTGGTTCCCTCATTGCGAGAAGCAAAGCTACAGGGAACCAGGCAGAGGGCCTTCTCGGTGGTGGCACCCACCCTGTGGAACGCCCTCCCTTCAGGTGTGAAGGAAATAAGCAGCTATCTTCTTTTAGAATGAGACACCTGAAGGCAGCCCTGTTTCGGAAGTCTTTAATGTCTGATGCTGTATTGTTTGAAGCACCTGATTGGCTGGGAAACTCAGCTAGATGTGCAGGTATAAATAAATTATGTTATTATGTGTTATTATGTATTATTACTGTGATTATTATGTTATTATTATTATTATTATTATTATTATTATTATTAAAAACAAATACAAGTAAAGGGCTGCTGTGCCTCAAATCATATTCTCTGCTTAGATCTCTCTGTCTCCCTTACAGTTCAATGCTATAATGTCCAGGGTCTTCTTTCTCATCTTTTGGGCCGCCAGAGCAAAAAGAGCAACTTTATGAGGCACTGAGATGTTTACATCGCCAAGAAGCCATAGGGCCTTCTCTGGTTTGGCGAGCAGTCGTAACAAACCAGAACATTGGTCCTGCAAGCTCAGGGGGAATCTACACAAATATTTTAAAAAGCTGTTGGAATGTTTTGTTTTGCTTTGCTTTATAAAAAAAATATTCATTTTTCTTTTTCATTCATTACATACATATCAGAGTCTTAACTTTTATTATGTACAGAGGTACCTCGGGTTAAGTACTTAATTCGTTCCGGAGGTCCGTTCTTAACCTGAAACTGTTCTTAACCTGAAGCACCACTTTAGCTAATGGGGCCTCCCGCCGTCACTGCACAATTTCTGTTCTCATCCTGAGCAAGTTCTTATCCGAGGTAATATTTCTGGGTTAGCGGAGTCTGTAACCTGAAGCGTCTGTAACCTGAAGCGTATGTAACCCGAGGTACCACTGTATTCCTCCCTCCCTCCCCTCCAGGGCTTCCCCAAACTTCCGCTTCTGGTTTGTTTCTCCTTTCACCCACTTTGCTATCTCTCAACAGAAAAAGTTATTAATAACATAACATCCAACCTAAAAACATAAAAGTAAAAATAAATACACCATCATATTTCTCTATCTTCTGAACATTTTCTAATACTAACAGTGTGAATGTTTATTTAATTCCTGCCATCAAGTCTATCGACTTTCTTTGTTTCTGCAAGTATAATATAAACGGTTCCCATTCTTCTTCAAAGTCGCTGTTGTCCTTTTCTTAGTCTGTCTGTCATTTTTGCCAGTTCTGCATAGTTCATCAACTTCTCTTGCCATTGTTCTTTACTTGATATTTGTTTTATTTTTTAAACATTTTGAAAACTATATGGAATTTACCATAGCTCACTGCCGCCATCTAGTGTCAAATTTGTATATTGCACTTTACAACACAATTAAAACATTTTATTTGCAGATGTACAGCTGAGTCCTCAGTATTGTCTATATTTTATTCAAGTTGGCACTAGCACCCCTGGTCCAAGTGAATTAAGGACACGTTTGTCCCGACCTGTCTGCCCCATTTCCCTCTGATTCTTTTCACACCTGTCTCTTATTATGCTTCTCTCTGTGTATGTCTCTTTCTCTGTCTCTCTCTGCCTGCCTCACATCACATTCCCTGCATTAGATTTGTCTCTGCTTTGTCTGTTCCAGGCCTTTCTTTGCTCTCCCAGGGATGAGTAACTACGGGACGTACGGACTGTCATCATGCAGCGGCAACCAATCAGGCCGGGAACCATCTAGCCAAGGCTCCGGCCACTGGTTTGGTTCAACGACGTCTCGGCCCAGATGCTATGAGCCAAGCAGCTATGGATCGTATGCCAGCTCTGGTGGCTTCGGAGGTTGTGGAAGCTGTGGAGGTGGCTATGGTGGCTCTGGCCGGATGGGTGGCCATAGCGGTTTCGGCAGTTTCACTAGTTTCGGCGGATGTGGCAGCCAAGGGGGCTACGGTGGATGGGGCAACCCGAGACCCTGCGCTTCTTCCCCCTGGGGGTCTGGCTGGGGAAACTGAAATCTCCCCAAGGCCCCTGGGAGTAGATGCGGTTCATCAGCGATGGATAGTATTTAAGCCATCCACTCATTCCCAGATTCCTTCTGACAAATTGTAAGCAGCAGTCAGGTTTAAATATGGAGGAGACGCCCCCAACCCCTCTTAAAAGCAAACCTTGGCAAACAAGCCAGGGGTCTTTTGATTTTGTACATGAATGTGCTTGAGTTGTCAAAACAATAAAAGGTACATTTGAAAATGATGGTGTCTCATTCCTTGTCTGAGTAGTTCTGAGCTACAACTTTGCACAGGTGGGGCTAACCCTAAGGCTGTTCCTGCATATCCACTTGCGTGGCGAGTTCCCGCCCCCCCGCCCAGGGCTAAATAAGGCCACAACTTTATTGGTGACAGGTGATGAGCGGTATTGGCTTAGGCATTGGTCCTAACTGACTATATCCGACTTCAGCCAGTCTGCTTGAAGTCCGGGAAGGGTTAACCACCATTGGGTGAGTCCTGCTGATGCACATCAACTAGGAACTCCCCAGGGGTCACTGATAGGGGGCGTGCCTTAGGCCCTCACCTCCATAGGCTTCGGACAGGGCCACACCCCCCAGAATCTTTTACCGGACTATCCTTCAATATGTGGGGCAGGGGATGGCGCTTCCTCCCCTCTTCCATCTACAGAACAATACCAATGCCTAACCGCCAATACCAAGAAAGTTGTGGTGATTTGCTACAAAGTAGGTGAAAACCAAGTGACTGGTGCCAATTTGCCAAGTGGGAAAATTCCTACCAGGCCCCTCAACGGTGACCAACCAAGGTCCATAGCAAGGTCAAGGAACGAAAACCTTATAGGGTGGGAGGGTGGGTGTCAGATGGCTGTTGCGGTTGCTCAAGAGTAACCAGGCAGGACTCCAAACCTGTGTTTTACAGGTTTTTATTTTGGTGCAAACTATTTACAGTGAAGAGCCCCAAAGCTCATGTCTGGCTCAAATGCTAGCAGAATCCGGGAGTGGTTTTTTCTTGGACCTCCCCCAACATAAGAATTTCATTACCCCCAACCTTCTCCTTCCGTCTTTGCACCTTAGGCTACTGCGCAGGATGGACGATGGCAAGGGCGTGTTTACCTCCTGTCCGCCTTGCCCAGGAGCGGTGTTAAGGCTCCCACAAGCATCCTCTGGTCCTTGCACCTCTTCCCCACTAGAGGTGGGACTTTCCCCCTCCCCGGAAGATTTTCGGAGGCTCCCTGCAACGCAACTGCCCTTCTATCCCTCGCCTCTGAGCCGATGGCAGTTCCCTGACATTGGGAGATGCTAGGAACACGCCTGGCAGACAGGCACAGAGGCACGATTCCCAAGCCATGCCGATTGGCCTTAACCAGGGCAGGCCATGCGCCTGAGCCAATCCGGCTGATCATGTGGGTGACTGCGACTCGAGATCCCCCATGCCGCATGGAGGGCCATGAGGCCCCAACCTCCTCCATAGGGCAGAAGTGGCTATGATAGAACTCATGGAATTGCATGGAATTCATAGAATCACATACAACTCATAGAATCCAAATGTAGAGTTGGAAGAAACCTCCGGGAATCATCTCATCCAGCCCCCTGCAATGCAGGAATGACAGGTTAAGAATGGTCCTCTGAAAGATGGTCCTTCAACCTCTGTTTAAATACTGCCAACGATAGTGTTATGTACTGAAGTTCTCACCCTGGGCCAGCAGGGGGATACTGTAGATAGTTTTCACTCAGGTCTGCATACGCAAATAAGGGATTGAAAGTGATGTTCAGTGATTGGATAGTTACAGAAAGTGGTTACTGTTGCTTTGTAGTGGAGCTCTATATAAGCAGGCTGGCCGAACCCTTCAGTTCAGTTCTGTTCTAGCCTGTGAACAAACTAGAGCTGTTTGAAGAATCGCTGTGTCGTCTGATATGTTCACCCACAACTTAACAGATAGACTGTTCCGCTGTCAAACAACTCAATTTGATTCCCTCCCCCCTCTTTCTTTTTTCCTTTCTCCTCCTGTGATGAGGCTGCATTTTAATGTTTTAATGTTGTATTTATTCTTGTTTTTAAGTTGTATTCATTCAACTTGTTTTTATTATTGTTTGTTAACGGCCCTGAGCCTGGCCTTGGCTGGGGAGGGCGGGATATAAGTAAAAATTATTATTAGTATCATCATCATCATCATCATCAGAAAGTTCTCTCTAAGAGCTGCTTGACAGCGAAATGAACTACTTCATAATATATAAATATCATGAGGAGCTCTCATATAAAGAATCTGTCCATTGCTCCACCTAGTTCTGTATTTGTCTATATGCTTACTGGAAGTCACACTCTGGGGTTTGGGACAGGGCATCTCTCCCAGCCCTAACTGAAGCTGTTATATAAAAAAAGTTTTATTAGGATTTATAAAGAGAAATTCAAAGCTTAATATCAAATCTCTCTTTTGTCCAAAACTGAAACATTGATCTAAATACAATAAAAACATAGGAAAAGAGAGAGAGAAACCAGGAAAAAATGAAAGAGAGAGAAATAAAGAAGAAGCAGACAAGAGATTTAAAGAGAAAGAGGGGGTTCAAAAATGGGGCTAAAGGTAAAGGGGCCCCTGACTGTTAGGTCCAGTTGTGACCGACTCTGGGGTTGCGGCACTCATCTCGCTTTACTGGCCGAGGGAGCCAGCGTACAGCTTCCGGGTCATGTGGCCAGCATGACTAAGCCGCTTCTGGCGAAACAGAGCAGCGCACTGGAAGCGCCAGTTTACCTATCCTGCCGGAGCGGTACCTATTTATCTACTTGCACTTTGACGTGCTTTCGAACTGCTAGGTTGGCAGGAGCAGGGACTGAGCAATGGGAGCTCATCCCGTCGCGAGGATTCGAACCGCCGACCTTCCGATTGGCAAGTCCTAGGCTCTGTGGTTTAACCCACAGCGCCACCTGTGTCCCAAAAAATGGGGGGTCGATCACTGCAATTTTTTAATTCTGTAAGTAGATCACAGTCTCTTGGGAGTTGGCCATCCCTGGTTTAGAGGAAAGGTGAATAAGATATAGAGGTATCTAAAATTAAGCATGGTGTGGAGAGATTATTTGGTATCATTAAGAGAGCCAAGATTGCTTTGAGATTGCTCTGTTTCCTCAACTAAAGCGGTTATTTTCCCTTCAGGGAATATTTCCTAATTTTTGAAGGGTGAAGGATTGGTTTTCTGTGAAGTGTGTTTCTGCCATTGCATGTGTGCGTGTCCCTTATATACCACATTGGTCCCTGTGCTATACAGCAGAGAGAGCCTCCTACTTCTTTTGAAGAGGTCTGCTTCGCACACAACTGAAATCTTTCCTTTAGTGTTGCGCCACCTACACAAGGGAATTTGTTTCTGTGAAGTAATAGCCAGAGGCTGACTGTTGCCTTTCCAGCACCTATGGAAGACCTTCCTCTTTTAACAAGCCTTTTAAGTAAATATCTTCCCCAGCCTGCACCTGTATTGGAGTTGTCTGTAAATCTATTTAGAGATTTCAGTGATTTCTCAGCTTGTGTGTTTGCCACCCCGGGCTCCAGCGGGTGCAGAATGCCACGGCAAGACTTCTTACAGGGTCCTCACTGTGGGATCACATTCACCCGGTGCTATACCAGCTGCACTTGCTCCCAGTGGAGTACACGATCAGGTTTAAGGTGCTGGTTTTAACCTTTAAAGCCCTATACAGCCTAGGACCCTCGTACCTATAGGACCGCCTCTCCTGGGATGTCCCACGGAGAACCTTACGGTTTTCAAATAAAAACATCTTGGAGATCCCGGGCCACAGGGAGGTTAGGCTGGCCTCAACCAGAGCCAGGGCTTTTTGGGCTGTGGCCCCAATCTGGTGGAACGCTCTGTCAAAAGAGACTAGGGCCCTGCGGGACTTGACATCTTTCCTCAGGGCCTGCAAGACAGAGCTGTTCCGCCAGGCCTTTGGCCAAGGCACAGTCTGACCCCCTCCTTCTGTAATCCTCATAGAACTTTAGCCCAATGGTTGCCATTAATTTGACTCTGAATTGATTTTAGAATGAATTGATTTTAGAATAGATTTCAATTAATTGATTATGATTTTATGTAAACTGTGTTATTTTTACTGTTGTTAACCACTCTGAGCCTGTCATTTGCTGGGGAGGGTGGGATATAAATAAAATATTATTATTATTATTATTATTATTATTATTATTGAAGAAGGGGAGGGTATAAATTGAATAAATCAATAAATGATGGGAGTTGTAGTGAAACAGCATCTGTGGGTCCAGAGACCCCCTTGTCCATGCTTTATACCTGGGGGCTTCATCAGGGAATGACCGCTCCCCACATCAAATGGGGGGCACCTTTTGCATGGTCACACGCAGCCCCCCTGGACCTATGCGGCTCCTGGCAGTACAGCGGGGCTTCACCCCCCACCCCAAGCTGGACACCTGGAGGTCTCCGCCTACCTCTTCCAGTTATCCTATGCCTAAATAAGTTGGAGTTCTTGTTATTAAATATACCAAGAAAAAAGCACACCAAGAACTTGGGCCAATGTAAGTTTCAGTAGTGGGAGTGGTCCCTACTCGCAAATCAATAGTCAATAGTAACAAAAACTAATCCATTCAAAAGTATGTATTCTGACGAGGATTACAAACTCCAATAGAGATTACAAACTCTAACAGAGACTACAAACTCAAACTCGTAACACAATAATT